GAGTCTGTCACAAGAGTGCCATATTCTAGCTACTGTATTTATTTACTATATCCTGCAACGTGTAAGCGGCTCAAGTACCTTGTGCTACAGTTTTTTTGTATCCCAAGTTTTTTTTTTGCACAGGATGTGACCGCTGTCGGATCACTGTTTTTCTTTTCTTTTTCTGTGATTGAAAAGCCTATACTGCAATTTGAAGTAAATGTTTGCTTTTCTTAAAAGTGTGTTGTCTCTTTGTTTTAAAAGAAACTGGCATTTACACCAGATTAGCATGCTCGTTTTGATACAATTTTTAGATACAAGCTTTGTTTCATGTCTTCTAACATATTTACTTTAGCTTATGACTGTTAGATTGCTTGAGTGACTATAAGACCGTACTATTATAGAAATGATTTATAGTGTATTGAATTAGAAAATGATTGCACTTATCCTCTAATGGTAAAAAACCCCCCTTCCTCTTTCAAAGAAGCTCGGTTTTCCTTCCTCTTCCTTCTTCCACCCTGATCATAAAAATAAACTTTTTACTGGTAGTGTAACTTAAAATTTTAACTTAGAGAATGACTTTTTTTGTCTAGAAAAGCATTATAATAGATCAATGTCTTGGTATGTTAAAAGTATTTTTAATATATGATAATATCTGAATGCTCTAATATTCACTAATTGGAAAAGGTGTTCTTCCTCAAAATAGACTTGCAGCTGTTGTCCTCAGTGTCTTCTCATCAGAGTAAGACGACTCATCCCTCGAGGACATGCAAGGAACAATCACCTAGGGAATCTTGAAAAGAGGATGTCTAAGATCTCTAGGGCGATTTGGAGACGTAACGGTATCTCTTCTGCTTGAAAGCATGTGGGTACACTTCTTTTCACCCTGTAGCCTGAAAGTGTAGCATTGGTATTGGCTCTGGGCTGTGCTGTCACGCTGGTCATCCTGTCAGTTAATGAGGAATTGTGAACAGGCACTGGGATATTTATGCACTTACCTTTATGGCTTGCCCCACATGCCATGCTCAAAATCTGGGGAGTTCATGGAAAACAAGGCAGTTTGGAAAGTGCTGTATTTTTCTTCTAAGAGGTTGTTTAATTATTCTCTCCTTTTTTTCGCTGGAGCTTCCCAGACTTGGTCAAGAAGTGGGGCTGCAGGCAGGATGTGAGTGCACCATTGAGTCTGCTTTACACATGCAGTTCCTCCATTGCTCTGGCTGACCCTGGGCCTGCCTCAGTATTGCCTCAGTATTACCTCAGTATTACATGTATTACCTGGACTACCAGTGTAATTGCATAAAGGCAAAGACTGCAGCATATGGCCCTTGTCTTTTCCTGCAGGATTTTATGTGAACCACTGAGCTGGTAGGGCCTGAACAAGATGACCTCTTACAGAAACGCTCTCATGTCTTCAAGGAAAAGTTTCTTATTTCCAGCAGTTCTGCCTTTCAGAAGTTGAACAGATTTGTCAGTGTTCCTTCTGTTGAACTATTACCATCTTTGGCAAGTGGGGCTGTAGTTGTTCAGTGTTGTTGTAGTGTGTTCAGTACTTCAATACAATTTCAGAACACAAAAGTGTTTTAATAAATAAAATCCTTAGTGTTCTTCAGTAAAGACAGATAGCAAAAACTGACAATGTGTGCTGATGAAGAATCTCTTGAATGCACTTGGGTTTTGAGAAAGTACAGCAACTATACCTTTCACATAGTAAGTCTTAACCTGTTGTTGATATTCTTCCATGGGATTTGACTGCTTGTGCTCTGCACTTGGTCTCGGAATCCCAGAAATCCAGATTAAGTACAGAAGTGCAGATGAATGCCAATTTGTTGTCTTTAACTTGGAAGTGTTACTGTCTAGTCTTTAAACAAATTTTATGAAGTACCCCTTTGCCAGTATGTCTCTTTCTGAATAAGATATGTCAGTCTGGACAAGAAATAAAATTTCAGTCTCTTAAGAACAATTTTGCCACCTTGCAGAGTGAACTTAAATTGAGTGCAATTCTTTTTAAATACTGAATTCTATTGACCTTTTTTTGACTCCACTCTTAATCATTACCACCTAACAGCAGATTTGAGAGGTTTTTCTCCAGAGCAATTGAATCAATAGTGGGATCTTTCCACAAAAATCAAGAGGCATTTCATGTGGGGTGAAAGTAGACGGCAACCAAGGAATTTAGTTGTTCTTCCTAAAGCATGGAATAAAGAACTTCACAGTTTAAATAAGTAAAGGCCCTTTATTTTTTATTTTTCCTACAAAGATTGAAAACCTATGACTCAAAAAGGAAAACCAGAACACTTGATTTAAATTCTGCATAGTAACCCTAGAATCAATAATTATTTTCTCCTCTATACAGGATTGGTGTTTGCGATGAAGTGTACTTCATTTCATCAGCACCAAACAACAGCTGAATTCTGCATTGAGAGCACATTTCCAGTAGAGTTAACTCTTAATCACTGAGTCAGCACTCCCGAAGGTATTCTTGAAATGCCATGTGATCCTAGAATCAAGGAATCTTTGGGTCAAAAGGGACCTTTTAAGGTCATCTAGTCCAACCCCCCCTGCAATGAGCAGGGACGTCTTCAACTTGAGCAGGTTGCTCAGAGCCCCGTCCAGCCTGACCTTGAATGTTTCCAGGGTTTTGGGACATCTACCACCTCTCTGGGCAGCCTGTGCCAGTGTTTCACCACTCTCATTGTGAAAAATTTCTCCCTTATATGTAGTCTAAATGTGCCCTCTTTTAGTTTAAAACTGTTACCCCTTGTCCTATTGCTACAGGCCCTGCTAAAAGGTCTGTCCCCATCTTTCTTACAAGCCCCTGCACTAAGGTCTCTCCAGAGCCTTCTCCAGGCTGAACAACCCCAACTCTCTCAGCCTGTCCTCATAGGAGAGGTGTTCCATCGCTCTGATCATTTTTGTGGCCCTCCTCTGGACCTGCCCCAACAGGTCTTTCCTGTGTTGAGGGCTCCAGAGCTAGATGCCGGACTCCAGGTGGGGTCTCAGCAGAGCAGAGGGGCAGAATCACCTCCCTTGACCTGCTGGCCACACTTCTTTTGATGCAGCCCAGGATACAGTTGGCCTTCTGGGCTGTGAGAACACATTGCCAGCCCATGTCCAGCTTTTCATCCTCAAGTCCTTCATGACAGGGCTGCTCTTGATCATCCCCCAACCTGTGTTGATGCCAGGGATTGCCCCAACCCAGGTGCAGGACCCTGCCCTTGGCCTTGTTGAACCTCATGAGGTTCACATGGGCCCATTCCTTGAGCTTGTCCAGGTCCCTCTGGATGGCATCTTGTCCCTCAGGTGTGTCAACCGCACCACTCAGCTTGATGTAATTGCCAAGTTGCTGAGGGTGTGCTCGATCCCATTGTCTATGTCATTCATGAAGATATTAAACAGTACTTGTTCCAGTACTGATCATAGGAGCATTTTTTATCTGCAAGTGGAATATTTGAGTTTATTGCAGTCTTCCAAACTATCTCACTGAAGATACTGTTTCTCAGCAAGTCTCAAAAATTTATATTCTTCAGCAGTTTTCCAATATGGGATTCAGAGTAAATTAAGACCTCTCTCCTCACAGCACTAACAAAGTGGAATCAAAGATGCCTGTGTTTTTATATTTAAGACTTACTTTAAATGTGACTATTTCTGATGATTAAAAGCCATAAGGAACTGCAAGCTTGGTAAAATGAAACGTGGGATCATAGTGGATCAGGTGATTAAGGATTTAACTTTTACTAAAATCAAGAACTTTAACCCCTTTCAACTTTATTTAAAGTAATCTAATGGAAATGTGACTTTGTAAACTGCTGCAAATAGTCATCTATTTAGAAATAGATTGTGAAGGTCCAGTAACTTGCTGTATGGTTGAGCGTAGGTGCCATCTGCTGGTAGTTTAGTAAGTAGCAGTTCTCATACTGAAAAAACCCGTAAACTATTACAGACGGTATAGTTTTCTCAGGAATGTAAAAGATGTTATAAATCTATTATTTTCTCATTGAAGATCTGATGGCAGCATCAGGACTCAGCTGTATGATATCAGAGATCCTTCCTGTAAGTCACAAGATCTAGTAAGTTACTTCCATGTGGATAGCTGTCAGGGGGACATAAGCAGGGCTGAAAACTGAGCACACGATGCATGAATCAAGCTTGAATTCTGGTAAGTACTGTGCAAAACCTTAATGATTAAAGGTGGAAAGCATGATTTTTGTGAATGTAAGAAGAAGTATATGGATTCTTGAGGAGAAAAACCAGAAATGTAGTAATTAGATTTCACATGTGGAAGACACTGGAAAACAAGCAGTTTTCTAAGAAAAGCATTTATGTAAATTGGACTAATTTTGCTGGAAAGTTAGCTAATAAAAAGTACTGAGAAATACTGATGATGCAGGATTCTTTTTCAATTGTTTTTCAGTATTACTATTTTGATATCAAGGGTTTGTGAAGTAACTTTGTGTACATGGGGGCAAGTTAAACAGGTCTGTAATTTTAGTATACCCATTAGAGAAAGAAGGTTAACTCAAATGACAACAGTTTGCTAACAACAGAAGCTTGTACATAGTTACTCTGAATTTGCAAACCTGGGGAAACTTGATACCACGTGATAGCTTTGTGTGCTCATGTAAGCACTGAACTCTTAGAGGGGGGAATAGAAGTTGGTTTCTCCCCAAGTATAGTTCAGTACCTGTAATACTGCAAGCACAAATTAGTCATCACTGAGTAAAGCTAGCTCTCCCTGAAAGTACAAACCCTCTACCTATAAAGACTGATTCTACAATATTTTTAAATGTGTGAACTTCCATTTTAATCTGTTCTCTAAGATTGTGATCAGTGTGTTCTTCAAACACAAACTTAAAAATCAGATTTTTTTGAAATTAGAAGTGTTCAGGGAGCTAGAGTGATAGCCAACTGTAAGTGTTCAGGAAAAGAATTCCTCTAAAACATCCCAGCTCTAAAATGTTGAACAACTTTGCTTTCATTTTCAATTAGACTGATACTTTTAAGGAAAAGTAAAACACCACAACTTTTATACAGCACCTCTTTTATAAGAGTGTTAGTTACAAAAAAAGTAAATTAAAAAATTCCCTGAAGCAAGAATTGGTGGTAAAGATTGAATTAGGAACTTGCATGAAAACAGCTGAGCAAATTCCAATACAGCCACATATTTTAATAATAGTTTCTTCCATCTGCATGGCAAAGTTATTCCAGGAATAATGCTTTCAGTCATCCACTCCAAGTGATGCAAACCTATTAATGTTACATAAATGCTGAGTTTCTGGTATAGCACCTCTGGTCTTTTTTTTCTTACTAGATGCTTTCTTCTTTTTGCAGGACTCAGATTTGGTCTTGGTCATCTTCTGAAAGAAGTCTGGAGATACAGTTGACTCCACTGTGTTTAACAAAGCCTGATAAAGCTGAGTCATTTTTGGAGATAAACTGAACAGATTTTCCACTGAAGGTGTTGATTTAAGTTCTTGATACAGTCTGTGCACAAGGGTCCCACTGTAAAGCCTGCTCAAAGGAAGGAGAGAATTCTCATTTAGAACCTCACCTCAGCAGGACAGGTACAGAAACATGCTGCTTAATGGATTACAGATCTTAACTACATATAGTATCCAACAGTGGGCTCCTGAGGGATACCTATTCAGTATTTTTCTCCATATTGGTATCTTTAAAGAAGGGAGTTCAAATATAGTAAAATTGCCCAGAGGCATCTGACACAGAAAATAAAACAGCATGTGAACACATGCCATCAGGGGCTTGTGTGGAAAGCAGATCTCTGAAACATCCTTACCTACTTAGGTCTGGCTCAGAGAGAGGAGTGCAAAGTAGCTGGTTGAGATACAATCCCATCTGAAGGCAGCACTGCCACTGGCAAAAACTGTGTGCAGCATCTAAATCAAAGTCTTTCTTTTGCAATTTCTTTTCTTTCCATTTTAGAAATTCATTATATGCAATACTGTCATCTTCAGCACATAAAACTGCGGGATCTAGGTTATAAATAAAAAATGTCATGCAAGTTAAGTGTTCTGCTCTGAACTGTATGAAAGGTATCTGCAATGTATAGTGTCTTCAAACCAGTTCCATTTCAGGAAGCATTAGTAATGTTCTCAAATGTCTCAAACTGAACTTTAAGACATAAAATTGAGTAAAAATTCAAGTACGACTATCCATAAGAATCTGAAATAAGGAATTTTATTTGTTAGGTAACTTGCTATGCTGTTCTGTGAGCGGATCAATTCCAAAGATTCCCATCTCACTCCCACCCACTTGGGAAGCTGGCAGCAACCACATCAGTCCAGTTTCTATAAACCAGAATCTAAGAAACCTGTATAATGTTTCTTTTTTATTCTTTTAAAGGCGTAGTATTTGCCATCCAATGAAAGACTCCTAGAGGAAATGCCACCATAACTCTATGAGGTATAAATATTACTGAAACAATTTATGTGATAATTTAGTATTTTTAAATTCTCACAATGCACAGGCAGATAAACACTGCCTGTGCAACTCAGCATTTTTAAGTACAGATGAGTTTAGAAAAACCCATAAGAAAAAAAAATATCTGAATGCATCAATAGTAGTTATTTTCTTTTGATGCATGAGTATGTTGAGCTTATTTTTTGGTAACTTTTATATCTAAATGAATCTTTCAGTCCTAAAGAAAGCATTTATAAATGCAAATTAATGTTTTGCACGATGGCAAAGCACTGTTTTACCTGTATAAAATGTTAAATTGATGGCTAGCACTTTCTCTGCTCTGTATCAATGCAAAGAATGTGGCATTCATCTGAATTTGGACAACTCACCATAACTGAAGAAAAATGAATTATGGTATAAATTTTCATAGCAGCTGAACATCTAAAATTGTATTCTTTGGGGACATACCTGGATCATTTGTTATCCTCTGCAGTTCTCCAGATACTATCATTAGAAGTAAAGCCTTCAATTGATGCAATTTAACTTTTGGTTCTGAACAACGTATCCAGTAACACGTTACAGCAACAGGGAGTTGTAAGTGACTCGGAATAGATTCTAGGAAACTCATTTTCACTCCTAGAGTCTCCAGCAAAAGCATCTGACGGCATGACACAGGCACCTGAAAATAAATTTAAAAATTGGAGTGGAAAAATAAAGGTAAGAGACTTTTATTTGCTGTGAGCAATTTCCAAAAGGCAAATAAGCTTGTGTTTAAACTAGCTAGTACTTCATGGTTTTGATAAAAAATTACTTAAGTTTCACAGATACTCTGAACAGGAAGTATTTTTTTAAATACTACTTAAGCTTTAAAAACTACACAGTTAAATGTTGGGTAGAAGGATAAAAGTAATTTTTTACTGTTGCCTGAAGTTAGATTTTAAGAGGTTTCAGTCGTTTTCTGATAGGTGACTTAAAATCCTATATGAAAGTTAATTTGCTTGGAAAATCCTGTAATGATAATGCATTAAAATTACTTTGGTATGGCATATGTATATTAAAGACTTAATTTTGTGCCTCTTAAAAGATACCCTTGCTTTGCGAGATATAATAGCTGTGTCTCTTCTCCATATGTTGAAAACATGCTTACCTGTAATCAATAAAATCTTAACTGTGAAGCTTGCATTTTTCGCCTGCAACATATTAAATTCCTAGCACATGTTCCCTCTTTGTTGTGCTATTTAACTTATAAAATGTGGTGTTATAAACTTTGTAACTTCATGCATGCAGCAGAATCGCAGCAGGCTGTTCAACTGTAATTAAGAACGCGTTGTGAACCTTGATTAGGATGCTTTTGCCTGTCTATTAGGCAGACATCCCCACAGCAGAAGACAAAGTGAAAGCAGTTTTGCCTAGAGCACTTTAAATGCAGGGTAACCTTTCTTCTAACCTTCTGTTGAACTGATAATTCCCATATATTTAGTAAGGAGAGCTATTATAATAGCAGAAACTCAAATTCATTAAACAGCATACTACCAAGACCAAATTAAGGTGTCAGTAACGTTTCTTAAAATAAAAAACCATGACTTTTCAAACTCTTAAGTGTTTGCATATTGCTTTTTTAAAAGGCCTGTAACAATAACCTGTGTAAAATAACCTGTATGTAGGCCTTTGGATCCATAGCCATCTGTAGCATTTCATGGTCATAGTAGTGATAAACTTAGTTCTTACATGAAATAGCCACCAACAAGTGGCACAGCACATGGATATGTTAACAGTTGATCTGAATGCCAGAATGGATATTGCATGTGGCTTAAATATACAATATTAAAAGGCACAGATTGTATTTCCCGATGTTTCAGAAATTACTGCATACAAAACCTCGGTTATGCAACTTCGGGAATAGGAGGTTATTTTCCATTCACAGCAGGAGTTACAGTCTTAATCATTAGAATTTATACATACAGAATTGCTAATGATGACTGGAACTAACCTAGTACAACTTCCCTTTGCTTACAAGCTGTTTTTCAGGTGCTGTTCTGTCTGGCAAGCAGCCCGGGGTCCATGTTAGCAGGACGCATACTTGTGGCAGGTAAAATTGCTGGGCCTAGCTGTAAGATTCATACACGAAATTGAAACAATGGTGATTTTTAGTAAAAAAGCATGGGTCAGATTTTGTTTCAGAACATTGCTCTGAAACATCCATAGCTTGATCAAATATAAATTTTGTAGTATGAAATTGCACTTTTCTGAATTTCATGAAACAGAGCTCCTTCCTATAATTATAAAAGCAGGTATTAGTGTAACAGAATACACAGGACAAAAGAAGGGCGTAGAATAGAAAATTTAGGCAATAGTACATATACACAGAACCAGCTTTTCATATGATTTGTCTTGGTACACTTGGGGTGGGCAGGAAGGGAAGAAGATAAAAGCAATCTAGGCAGCTTCTCAAGTATCACAGGCCAAGCTCAGAGCCCTGTAAGTACCTCTGCATTTAGTTAGTTACTGAGGTGGCTTAGTTCAGGCATCACATTTAGCGACCCGGTGGCAAACGTGAGTCCAGACTATTTTTTGTCACTCGTGAAACACTGTTAAGTGTGATCTGTTGTGACAACCATTTACCTCCATTAACTTGTCCAAAGGAAAATGATCATCACAAAAATCTGTGGGTAGGCTTGCTGCTTGAACAAATGTTTTTTTAAGTGTCTTTTGGAGTCTGTCAAATTCACATACAACTGGCAGCTCGTTGGTCTGCTTCCTTGGAGAAGCAGCTTCAGTATTTTGAGATACTTTCAGAAGCAGTCCATAGATAACTTGTCGAATGGGCAAAGCTGTGCTATGTGCGCTAGGTCTCTGCATGTTCTCCACCTGAACGTGGAGGAAGGTACTTCTTAGAATGAGGGCATCGCTGATGAATGGGGCCAGCTTACCTTCTGCCAAAGCATCAAGTACCCACTGTGGTAAGTCCGCTTTCCTGGCAGCCTCACATTCGTACTTTCCGTTCTGAAAAAAGTCCTCAAGATTCACGTCAGACGGAGTATAATCCTCCATTGAAGTGCACAGAAGCTCCCTTACTTCTTCTCTCTGGTGTTTCTTAAGGTATTTCAGCACACTGTCGACAGCCTCGGTGGGCTCAGCAAACTGCGCCAGCCAGTTCAGGAGCCCCTGAAGGCGGGCGTGCTTCCCTCCCTTCCCCGCCGCCCACCCCCTGGGCCAGCGCACCTTGCTGAAGAACCCCTCGAGAGCGGCCAGATCAATATAATCGTTCCCGTTCATGACGGCAAAGAGCGGGAGCAGGCTTTTCTTCAGGTCGCCCAAGTGCCTGCAGAACCTCTCCACGGA